CGGCATTCGCGCCTGCCTGGGACGCAGAGTGGCTGAACTGGAGATGTACCTCCTTTTGTCCCGGGTAAGAGTGCATATCTGTCAGCACAGTCACTGTCTGCACCCTTCCATAGCTGTGCAGATGTTTGTGTTATTATATTAGTAGTAAAATGTTCTTGTTTAACCTTACCATCAGATGATTCAAACTGATGGCACATTCACATTTTTGGAATAATGTGGAGCACTGAAGATAGCAATGTGCTGAAACGCTTGCTCCTGTTCAGTTGTTTTTAATTCACTTTGCACTTTTTGCACTATGCAATCCAGATAATAAAAAAAACATTTTTTGATAGACTTCTGTAATCTGTACTGAATTCAGTGTGCGGCCAGCCACCTTCTTGCTCATATTCACATTTTTGCCATTACCCAGAAAAACATAGAAATGCAGTTTTAGGTCATTCCGTGAATTTTTAACCCATCCTTATCAACAATGATTGTCCTGACCCAGTTTAGCTGATCATATTAGTGTGTTAGTTTTAGATCTTTGACTAGTCTGCAGTCCTTCACCTTTGATTCAACCTTCTCTGCTATTACAGAGATAATTCTGCTTGTCAATGAGTAACTAAGACTTCTCTAAACTTCAATGAACTATACATGTTCCAGGTCAATATGCTTTTATTTATTTATGTTTATTGTTTTTGCAGTTAATTAAACACTATGAAGTGCGCCCAGACCCTTCAGGAAAGACTGTGAAGCCGATCACACGAACTCTGCTGGTCCCTGCCACGTCTATGGACCTTCAGTTTATTGACAGGTAAAAAGAGCAAGAGGAACCAGTCAAAGCAAAATGCTTCTATATATAGAACTGTGCTCTTCTCAAAGCAGTGTGCTTCTAGATGATGATGTTTACAAATTTGATATGACGCGTATAATTGCAAAATGTAACTACAATACGTAGTGCTGACTAAATTAAATGGCTTTACTGTTGCCTTTTTCAGGACTTTTTATTTATAATAAACAAAGACTTATTTTACTGTTATAAATACGTATATACTGTAAATATAATATAATTTTTGACATTACATTGTATAAATAGTTTTGTTTAAATAGAATTGTATGTGGATTAATTTGTCAAATGTACGTTTTTTAGATCTTTTACAAATAATGTCAACTTGTTTTGTTTTTTGTGAATACACCTTAATCTTTGCAATTATACATTTTTTAATTTTAGAGGAAAATAATATCACAGTTTAACATCTAATTTCGGATTACATTTGTCTTTGCTGATAAGAATAATATTCATATTAAACACATGTTGCAACCCCTGTCCACTGTTTGCATGAAATCCTTCTCTCGCTGTTAAGGCCTCCACACACTACAAGATAATCGGGGCGATTTTGAGCCTAATTCTTACCTTCCGACAATCCCAGGTAAAATCCTGATTATCTTGATGGTTCTACAGATTATTTTATCAGACTTTCCTGTGGTGTGAGAAGCTGCAGCCTGCAGTGGACATCCAACCCAGCCCACATCCAATTGTGATTTCAGAAGCAACGCCCATGTCCAAATACGTCACATTCTCATTACATTAGCGCGACTTTACTGCAGCCGAATCTTAAGATTTATTGGTCATGTCAATCACAGTACTGATTGCTTACACCAAACACCAATCTCTAAACCTACCCGTCACAACCATAGACTGTAAAAAAGATGGACGACGCCCCTTCACTCTCTTCCATTGGTGAAAAGTGAAGCCGCCAAAGTCCTAATACTTGGAATCGTGCTTCCTCCTCATTAAATTTGAAACAGGAAAAAGCATCGAGAAGATTCTTTTTCATTTACTTCTTATATTTCTTTATATATTTCTGTTTTTATGACAGACCGCACTGTCTGAAACCCACTCAAAACCTATCCTTGCGCTTAAAAAACCCTTTTAATCTGGAACCTACATACTGAAACCCACCTAAAATCTACCCTTCCTGAAACCCACTCAAATCCTACCCTTACGCCTAAAAACCCTTTCAATCGGAAACCTACATACAACAAATCAGGTTTCCGGGGCGGACGTATTGGATTCGGGCGGGGCTTCTGACGTCACACTTGGATGTGGGTGGGGTTGGATGTCCAGCGCAGGATGCAGCGAGCCCTTCTTGTGTATTGTGATGTGGTAAGGGTGATTGAATCTGCTCAGAAGAACGTCCGGGCCGCATCGATGTCAAATCGATGGTGGTAGTTGAGGAGATCCCCCCTTCTATGTAAAGCGCTTTGAGTGCAGAGAGAAGCGCTATATAAATGTAATCAATTATTATTATTATTAAATCAGAAATCCTGTTGTGTGGGGAAACCCTGAGGACAAACGCGCACACACACACACACACTGTGGATTGTCACGTGGAACTAACCGATATAAGAAAGCGAGCTGATGGAAGAATAACATGGCTTCATCCAAACCTTTTTCTTTTTTCAGCGAATTTTATGTAAAAAGCAGTACTGACACTATTATTGCCATTTCTTCTTACCCGTCGTTTGCCATGTTTGTTTACTGGAGTCACGTTTGATCGCGAGAGATTTTCCGAGATTTCCCGTGTTGTTCTGAGCTACTTCTTGGAACACTTTTTCATTCCGTTTTGCCCCATCCAGCTCTCGCTGGATCCACTCCTCGGCATCCAACGAGAGGAACGTCTGCACCTCGTCCACTGACCACGATTCAGCCATTTCTTTTTTAAAGTTTTGATCTCTTTTTTTTCCAAGAAAGTAAAAAAACAGATGCTACCGCGTTGGCTGTTGTCTACTGGTTCTTTAAATCTAGCGGGTTTAGTGTCTCGTGTCGCAAATCCAATGACGCTGGTAGTGACGATTCTGTCTGACCAATCAGTGATCTGCAGTGTTTTTACGTCACATTTTAGTACCGGTACGGTACGGTACGGTACGCTTGGAAGTTGGAACCTCAACAGACCAGGTACCATTTAAAGCGAGCCGTACCGTACCGTACTATGCAGTGGAAAAGCGCCAAAGCGTGCCGTACCGAACCGAACCGTACCGTACTATGCAGTGGAAAAGCGCCAAAAGAAAGTCGGGAACCTGGTCATCGCGGCACTCCACACACTATCAAAACTTTTACATCTTTTTAGTTTTTTTTACCGTCATGTTTCTGGTATCTTACATTTTGAAAATCTGATAAAATTTTAAAAAGTCTGTTTAGATATGAAAGGAGACTGACTCCACTGATGCCCTAAACTGAATAGGCTCGTTTAAGATGAGCAAAATCTGCGCAGAAACGATTACCGGTGATCACCTTGCTCTGATGTCATGCTGACGGCGAGGCGGACGTGTCGGATTCTGCAGTCAAACACAGTTGCTCTCCACCGACTGCGCTGATCAAAAGCACGATGGAAAACGACTTGCTGACGACACAGCTTAATGTTCTTTGGTTTAAACAACCGTGATGTTTTGTTCTCTTTTAAAATGTTTGATTTTTAAACTCTTATATAATTTTTTTTATGTGTATAAATTATGTGTGAATATTCCTAATCTGTTTCACAGTGCTATCTCGGATGTGATTGTTTTCATATTTCTAAAAATATTTAAAAACATGTCTGTATTAAAGCAAAAATGATAAACACGTCTGGAATTAAATAACAAGTAGCCTACCTTTGGTGTCTTTTTGATCATATTTATTTTCATATAAAAACAACATAACTTAAATTACATCTAGTTTATTAGCAACACCGTACATGAGCGTGAATCCCGCGACATCTGCCTTTGATCTCGCAGGTGTCTGATCCACTACGAGAAGAGAGAACTTGTCAAGCTTGCTTGCACTTTTTTCACTCCTCCACTCACTGCAGCCGCCTACTCTCGCATACATTTCAGGCGAGGCCAGGCTTAAATTTACCGTCATGTAAATTTGAGTTTGTGGTATCTTACTTTTTGAAAATCTGATAAAAAACATTTAAAATCTTTAAGTTTGGGCCACCCTTTAGTCTATTTAGATATGAAAGGAGACTCCACAGATTCCCTAAACTGAAACATATTTGTCATTTCCTGCTCCACTTTTATCTCAACAAATAAAACTAGATTTTCAAGTTCAGTTGGACACTGTAGACCTTCACAGTGCACATGTCTAAGAGCTGATAAAGAAAACCATCTGGAAGAGAGTTCAAAAGGAATGTCTCAGTGTGAGTTTGAATTCTATGATTATGATTTTTAACATGTTTTTCTTTTTTCTATCCCAACATAAAAATAAATTTATCATAAAGCTAATTTTGCAAGCACTGAACAATCATCCAGTTGCATTCCCCCTCCTTGCTAAAATTATATTCTAGATGATTTGCATTTTGACTCCTTAATCTGCATTCTCAACTGGATACATGTGAGGGATAGATTCCAGTATAGGCTACTTAAAAAAAAAAATACAAGGATTTTTAGCATACAGTATTTTTAGGACAGTATGTTTTTTTTTCCCCAATTTACCAGAATGTCCAATTATGCCCAGCAGATGGTAGTGTTGGACCAAACTGAATGCGCTAGAATGCTGTAGGAATCACTCATTTTGCCAGACACTTTTGGATAGCTAACATTTAAATAAATAAATCACAGCACGTGATTTATTTCACAATTGTGATTTAAATGAACCATCAGTAAAGACATTATAAACTTGCTTTTGGTCACAAAAATGAGTAAAGATGACAATAATGGAAATAATAATTATATGCTTTATAGGAAATTGTGGATTCATTTACATAAATGCAGTTACAAACCTTTTTCTATTTTAATGTAACGCTTGTCACATTTTAAAATGTTAAAAAGTCAAAAAGACATTCATACAGACACTTTTTATTTATTTATTTAGTTTTAGTGTATCATTTATGTCTGTAGGCTGTTTTGGGGAAAGATCCACAATGCTATATTCCACATGACGGCACCAATTTTGCTTCACTTGTGTAATTATCATCTCTTAGAACAGCACAAATGATCCTTTTTTTTCAGCTGAATGATCAAGAGACATTCAACAACACTGGTAAAGTCATGATATAAAATATTTTAATGGTTGTCATGCAAGTTCTTTTAAAGAAAGAATACAGGCAAACCTTAAAATCTGAATACATAAAGGACTTTAGAAAAGTTTTTAGGCTTTTTTATATAGTGTTTGGAATGTGTTTGCATATAATGACAAATTATCATCGACACAACTGTTTGCGGCAGGTATGCTTAATTTATTGCCCCGTTTATTTCATATAGAAAAAAAAACTACCTACAATGTATATCTGTGACATTATTTGACACTTTTTGGTGAAGTCAGATCTAATAGGGCAGGACTGAGGTTAGCAGCACTGAACACATGTTAATCCAACAAGTTAGTTACGCCCATAAACTGGGGGTCATTGCAATGAAACATTACGACACAACAAAATCCAGAGGAAATTCTTCTTTGGACGGCTTCTACAAAGTTATAAGTGCTCATTTGGCAGTACATAGGAACAGATGTTTTCCCTGTTTTAGTTTTTTTATGATGGCTAAAATGTTCTGAGGTGCTTTTAAATAGGGGAGAATAATGCATCATCATCATCAATACATGTCGCTCACTCAGTTCACCGGTACATATTGTGAATACTAGTGAAGTGCAAAATATCTCCCTTCAGTTCAATGCCCATTAATTCCCCAATGGACTTTTAGAAGGAATCCTGATAAGAGAATGCATGCATGCAGATGAAATGGCTTCTGAAATCACATGACTGTGCAGGTTTTTGTCTTGGTCTTGTGTAGACATGACACTGATCCCAGCTCAGGCCTAGATACGTGCGAGGTCCTCTTGGTGGCTCTGCTGGACTTCATGCGCTTCACATTCTTGTTGCTTTTACTGATGCAGGCCAGTGTGGCTATGTGAAAAATGTCCCTCACGCTGTTCTCAGACTGCTGCGCTGAGCACTCGATGTAAGGGGCCGAGATCTGCTTGGCCATGTTTGAACCCTAAAAGACACAAGAAGTCAAAAATATACTCATATAGACAGTTAAAATAAACTAAAATAGCTCAAATAATAGACAACTAAAATCATTTCTGATCTTCTAATTAGGGGTCTTCAACAGGGGGACACCGAGGGGTATATGGTGGTACTAGATGAGGTCTGCCAATTAATGTTAGATTTAATGCTCATGTAAGATAAGAACATGTATTTTAGAAATACAATAAAAGTTAGTTACATTTTAGCCAAATGTATCATTGTCAATGTTTCAAGTGTAATATGGGCCTCAATAATGATTATTTTAATTGTTTTGCAAGCTACATTAAGCATCATAACAACATCTGTAAATACACTAATATGGAACTGTATGCATGTTATTATTATGTTTCACTATCCACCACCTAGTACACCTTTGGTTGAAGATACCTAATTGCATTATTTTGTAGTACAAGCTTTTGAAATTGTATGTTAACTTACATCTGTTCTTTCTTTTTTTTTTAAACTCACCTGGTCATACGATGAAGGAATGTCATTGGACAGCTGCACAAATGTGGCCAGATCTGCACGTAGGTCAGACTTGCATCCAACCAGAAGTACTTTAGTATTGGGACAGAACTCCTCAATTTCCCCTTTCCACTAAAGGATTTAAAAAACATGGTGTTAGACTGTTGACAAACATATAAATATTCAATGAAAAACCTAAACGAAAATTAGAAATGTTGGCAACTAACTTAAACTTGAAGTTGAAGTACTAAAAGTAAAATAAATAAAAGCACATAACAAAATGACTAAAAGTAAAATAAAAACAGAAAAATATATGAAATATTAAAAAATGCATTCATTATTTTATAGCTTTATATAATTATCATAATATCAGTAAAACTACAAAAATTAAGATTAGAAAAACTAAGAAAACAAAACCTAAAATTCCTTTGAAAGACAAGAATATAATATTAATTTTAAGTAATCTTTTATCTGTCTAATACGATTTGGCTGTTTATTTTGAAAATGAGAGTCCCACAAATTCCTTTCCACATTGTTTATAAAACATCCAGCGATTCTAGACCATGTTTGTTATCCCAGGATGTCTAAAAATCTGTGATCTTCATGACCCAGTTATTAAAACACTCATCCCGTTTTAAGTATCATCCCTACTTCTAGTCAGTGGAGGACCCCGGCATGGGTGAAATGGGCATTTGTCTAGACTCTCTAGTAGTTCACCTAGAATCATCCGATGACATCAGTGTAGAGTTGCACAGACCACCTCAGTGGGAACACCAATGAAGACCGAAGCGGCCCAAAACGGGTGGCTAATTCTTGCTCTCTTAAAACCTCTTGTCTCCCAATGACATCAGAGGTTACAAGGCTTTCTGCGGCACAAAGGCTCTCTGATTCTGAGGCCCAACGTAAACAACTCTTATTGGTTGTCGTTCTCCCCCTCATGTGATAGTCAAAGGATCAAAGCCCTCCCACACATTCCTTCTCTCATTCATTGGACTCTTGTCTCAGATGTCTGGACTTTTGTTCTCATCACCACAAAGACATCAGGGATTGTGAGAATATCCCAAAAACAGTTCAGGAGAGCTACAACAGTTTATAAACAATCCGCACCGATGAACAAATGTCTTGAAAATCAGCGTACCTTCCTTAGCACATTCTCCAGAGTCTCTGGTCGACCGATATCAAAACAGATAAGAACTGCATCGGCGTCCGGATAAGAGAGGGGGCGCACGTTGTCATAGTACGGAGACCCTGCAAATAGACACCAAAACACTGTACTAATAAATAAATTATTACTTATTATAACATAAATGAATAATAAGTAATAATCTGAACAATAACCTGACAGTGCAATGGAAAAACTTGTAAGTTAAACAATGAACACAGCATGTTAGCATGGTATTTATGCAACTGAATTGTTTTAAGATGGTATATTGCTATTAGATTTACTCCATATGTACCGCAATGAAATGTTATTTATATTCACAATCTTTCAAAGTTCAACAGTATACACATCAGTGTTATTTGAGTATGATACTATTATACTATTTTGTAGTTTTAGTAATGTTATGTTTTGTCACTTTTGTTACTTAAATTATTAAATAGTTAGTAGTTAAAATATTTTTATTTAGCTTTAATTTATTTTTATTTCAGTTTTAGTTTTAGTTACTTTGCCAAAGACAACATTTCTCATTTTTGTTTTAATTTGTTTTTCTCTCTTTACAGTGCAGTGTCAGAAACCATGCACATCTGTCCTAGAAAAACATAATTTAGGAGTATTCTTTTCTTTTATATATATATTCATTTATAGCATCCAGTTTGAATAGAACAACGTCCCCATAAACTACAAACACTATATTACTACTGTCATTGAACAGTAAAAAAGTATATAATTCAATTCAATGCAAATAATTCTATCCATTTATTTATTCAGTGTCGCTGTGAGTAAAGTCTTCTTAGGACATTCTGAACTGGTTGGACTGATACTGGTTGATATTCTATGGGGGTCCCTGTGCAAGTCACTGTCCCTCTACATAGGAAGACAGCACATGTATCCATGTTTCAAGCCCAGCAAATTAGGTTACAGTGCTATTCTGGGAGGTGAGTGTTGAATCTGCTCTAGAAAGTTTGTAGGGCTTGAAATGAGTTCAAACCTCAGATCATTAGCCATCATTACTGAAATATTTAAAGGTCTCATTTTGAAATGTCAGTCCATGGCGAGTCATGGGTTGCTCGCAAAAACATGAGGAAGGAAAAGATGATAACCGTCAGTTCAGATTTGATAAATATAAACAACTGTTTAAAGAAAGCATTATTTGCAAACAAACTATGCTATGAAAAATACTACCACATATGTGTAGTTTATTTTGAGATAGTATTACCTAACATTAACAACATTCATGAGTCATTCTAGAAGTGTGGGAGACAAGAGTGAGTCTGCTGTGAGAACATCATTTGCAATCTTTGGTGGTTTGGGCTAGTTTACACTCTTAAAAATAAAGCTTCCACTTAAAACCAAACACAGTTTTACAGCTTGATTCCATTGAAGAACCTTTTTAAGTTCCACAACACTTTTTATTCTTCATTTCTTCCGAAAACCATGGCTCTTAAGAGAGAATCTAACATGCTGACAGTGCAACATGAAGAGCTTATTTAACTGAACTGCATATATAACCCAAGATATCAAACATTGTTTTTGATAAGAAAAACCTGAACCAAATCCGAAACCAAAACCTAAAAGTGTATATTAATAAAATATAAAAGTGCTCATAGCACTCACTTTTCTTCTTCAACCTCATCATCACATATTCAAGATTTGTATTTATGAATTATATCGTAAGTGATGAATCATCAGTCTGACAAGAATATCTGTGGTCCTCATCCAGTCTCCAGTCCACCAAAAATAGAGGGAGGTTTATGGGGACATGACATTTAGAAAACTACATCACATATCCCACAACGCCCAAAATCTCAAAAACTGCATTACAGCTTCTCTGGCGACCAATAAATTCATAGGCTATGTGCATGTGTGTATCGAGGCTTGGATAAAAACAACATCAAATTGCCTTTCCTTCTCTTACCTGAAGTATCCCAAAGACTGAGCTCAACTCTCAATGTGTCCACCTCAAAACTGGCTGTGTAGTTCTCAAACACTGTAGGAACATAGTTCTGCAAGAGAAAGATCCAAAGTTTAATGTTTAACCAAACAAAATGACCAACTCATGGCTAAAACGTTCAATAAATGTTGCACTCATGACACAAATAACATTAAAGATCAAATTAACATTCATATTTATTGGCGACTTTTCTCTACAAACCTCTGGAAAGGAGTCTTTGGCAAAAACATTTAACAAAGACGTCTTCCCACACTGAGTGTCCCCGACCACAACTATTTTACATTTCATATCGTGATGGTGATCCATCATGGACTAACGTTAACTGAACCTCATCTTCATTCACCGTCGCTGAACATCAACCGGGTGACCTCGAGACTGCAGTCTGTCCATGATGTTACAGTATAGTAAGAGAGAAAGATTCCAGTTCTCTGTGCAAAGTGTTTAAGTTCTCTTCGGTGCTCCTCAGGTTGTGATAAAGATGAGTTATTTGTTAAGCTGAAGGCGAGAGGCGCATCCTCTTTACGCTGCGCTGAGGAATAAACCGCTTGAAACGTCTTGCTTTGGAGTCTGTGAAACATCTACATACTTGTGTGATGAGCGCAGCGCGAGACCGCCCCGAGCATCAGCTCGCATTCCAGCGCGCGAGGGCGCGCCGCGCGCTCCGAAGAGACAAATGCTGCTAAGGAAACAGGATTTTCTGCAAAGCCTAAAGAAACGCAGATGTAGTCAAATCCCAGGACTGTGATGTGATCAATTAAACAGTCTGGTTGTAACATGGAACTGTTTTCACTAACACTGCCGTTTGTTAGGCTCACAAAGACTGCATTTATTTGAACAAAAATAAATTAAAAACAGTTGGCTATTGTGAACTATTATCTATTGTAGGCTAATATATTTTAAAGTCTAATGTATTCCTGTCTAAATCTGAAATTTCTGCAGCCATTTCTCCAGTCTTCGTTGTCACATGATCCTTCAGAAATCATTCTAATATGCTGATTTAGTGTTCAAGAAACATTCCTTATTATTGTCAATATTGAAAACAGTTGTGCTGCTTAGTAGTTTAGTGGAAACTGTGATAGGCCTACATTTTATACATATTACATGCTCAACACTAAAATTTCAGTAACTGTCTTTATTTTTACTAACCAAATTATAGGATGGGCCCATAGTTCATAATGATGATTTCACACTCATTGGCCCATTTTGAACCCACTCATTTTGACTTCTGATTTTTGTTATATTTCCTACATAAAATGGTAAAAGAGACCAGACATAACACAAATGCGAGTACACACTTTAATACTGTTCTAGATTATTTAACAAAATGTGTCCAATTTTGCCTAAATTAATAGGCAATCAATATATCTATAGTGCCTAAGAAAACGCTCAAATGTCCTTGAAAGCATGATTCAGGGAGCAGACTGTAAGGATACAAGATAGAAAAATTACCATGAGGAGGAATTTAAGTCAGTCCTTTTAGTCAAGTCAAGTCACCTTCATTTATATAGCGCTTTTAACAATATAGATTGTTTCAAAGCAGCTTCACAGTGATAATAGGAAATTAAAGTAACAGAGATTGTTTTGGCTTTACAGCAGCTCTAGAATAAAGTTATTGTCCAGCTAAAGTTAGTTTTGATTGATTCACTTCCGTTACAACGATCATTAGTTATTAACTTAGGGGCCACTAACACGACACCGTTCTAACAGAAAACCCTTAATGTGATTTGCACAAAACAGTGCCTGGTGGCTCGAGAAAGCAAACCATGAAATAGGTTCCAAGGTACAAGCCTTTAAAAAAATGTATCGCTTCCGCGTAGCCACGTGAACCGGAATTATCCCGACAATGTTTTATCTGTACAGAGTTAAAGGGAAGGGAAGGAGGCCTTCACAGGGGAGAGACTAGTTGACACTTCAGGACTGTGTTGTCGTCGTGTCCAGGCGCAGGTCCTTCATCAGATCTGGATACGGCTTGGATCCGGCGGACTGCGGTAAACCTCGGGATAAACAGAGAGACCAATATTAGCGTAGACGTCATCCTTCTTATGATGTAACAACTACATCAGGATTTATGGGAAGTGTTCCCGGTTCCGGCTGATCTATGCAACCTAACATTGAATTATAGAAGTCTATAATGTGTTATGTGTATGCTAAGTCAAAGAGATGTGTTTTTAGTCTAGATTTGAACTGACAGAGTGTGTCTGCTTCCCGGACAATGTTAGGAAGACTGTTAACCCATTCATCCACTCATGGACACCTCGACACTTGGTCAGGTGGAACCGGGGATTGAACCACCAACCTTGCGGTTTTGTAGACAATTGTAGACAAATTAGTCATCCAGTTTTTTATATCAGCTACATTCTGTTGATTTTGTGAATTGGTAAGTTTCGTCAGGGTGTGAAGAAATATAGAGCTGAGTATTATCAGCATAACAGTGAAAACTAATGCCATGCTTCCTATCTCCTAAGGGTAGCATGTACAGAGTGAACAGCAACGGTCCTAGAACTGAGCCTTGTGGTACGCCATACTGAACTTTTGATCGATAAGACATCTCTTCATTTACTGCTACAAACTGATAACGGTCAGATAAGTATGATTTAAACCACTAATGCAATTCCACTAATGCCAACATAATTTTCAAGTCTATTTAAAAGAATGTTGTGGTCAATGGTTTCATCAAATGCAGAACTAAGATCGAGTAACACTAATAGAGAGATACAACCACGATCGGATGATAAGAGCAAATCATTTGTGACTCTGATGAGAGCTGTCTCAGTACTATCGTACGGTCTAAATCCTGAATGAAAATCCTTGCAGATGCCATTTCTTTCTAAAAAGGAACATAGTTGTGAAGATACTGCCTTAGTATCTTTGACAGAAAAGGTAGATTCGAGATCGGCCTGTAATTGACTAATTCTGTAGGATCAAGTTGCGTTTTTTTAACAAGCGGTTTAATCATAGCCAGCTTAAAAGTTTTTGGTACATATCCTAATGACAAAGATGCATTAATGATATTAAGAAGAGAATGACCTCTGGAAGCATCTCTTTCAGTAGCTTAGTCGGTATAGGGTCTAACATATGTTGTCGATTTAGATGATTTAACGAGTTTAGAAAATTCTTCCTCTCTGATAGCATTGAATGTATCATATTTTTCCCCAGGGAGACTACAATGCACTGCCTGATGCGATAATGTAGTAGATGGTTGCATAGTTATAATTTTCTCCCTGATATTATTAATCTTGTAAGTAGGCTAAAGAAGTTCATAAAGGCATTACTGCTGTGCTGCTTGGAAACGTCTGGGGTTGAAGTTTTATTTTTCATTAATTTAGCCACTGTTTCAAATAAATACCTAGGGTTTTGTTTATTTTCTTCTAATAGGGTTGAAAAATAAGCAGATCTAGCAGCTTTTAAGGCCTTTCTGTATGCAATCGTGCTCTCTTTCCATGAAATGCGCAACAACTCTAGTTTTGTTTTCTTCCAGTTGCTCTCCATTTTTCTGGCTGCTCTCTTAAGGGCCTGAGTGTGCTCGTTGTACCACAGCGTTGGACTATTTTCTTTAATCTTCTTTAAGCGCAAAGGAGCAACTGTGTCTAAAGTGCTGGAAAAGAGAGAGTCAAAAGGTTCTTCTAAACTATCTGGGATGCTGAGGAGATGAAACTGATCAGGAATATTATTATTAAAGCGATCTTTAGTGGCAGAAGTGATAGGTCTAACATATTTGTAACACGGAGTTGACTTTGCAGCCTTGGCTAAATGAAGTACACGAGACTAGATAATGATCTGAGATGTCATCGCTGTAGAATTTCAACGGCATCAACATTGAAATTCTACAGGAGAGAGATGACATCTCTAGTCTCGTGTATACTTAATTTAGCCAAGGCTGCAAAGTTGACTCTGTGTTACAAATATGTTTCCTTACAACAGTTACCTTAAAAACAGCCGATATGGTAAATCACAGTCATATGTGTTTTCATGTGGATTTTATGTCAAATATGGGTAATAAAAAAGCCTCAGTCCAGCTATAACAGTATTTGCAACAATGCACTATAAGTTTAAAATGGGTTGAATGTCCTGATCTTATGTTCTTGAGTATTCCTGACAGTGTCATTTGTCCCAAAGAGCACTCACTGTGAGGTCAATATACAAGATATTTTAAGAGAAAACAGCCATGAAGGGACTTTTTAACCTTATAGGGAGGGCTAGCTTTTGATGAAATGTGAAAAGAATGTCCTGTGGTTGGTTTTTCCTCTTTTCTCAACAGTTTCGCAATATTGCTGGCTCCACACGCCTGTGTCTTAACACAAAAATCACATGAATCATATGTTTTGCTTTTCGCTCTGTGAGGGTGTAAAACATGATCATCATAAGCAGTAATAATGAAACCATATGTCCTTTTAAAAGACATTAGTAGCCTATATACTGTTCTTTTTGTAAACAAAATATTTCAACAATAATTTGATCAAATGTTGTGGAATCTGATATACTGCAAACAATTGATTAAACCATATATTTTTTCATTAATATTTATATACGCTGAAAATATTAGTGAACGCCCTCCTGTGTCAGCAGCAGTTTAAGAGCACAACCCAGAGCAGGAATGTTCTCAGAATTGGAGGACAGCCAGAGCAAGAAGCTGCTCCATGACTGAATGAATACCACATCTTCATAGTCAACCAACAAGAACTGTCTCCATCCTGGATCATTTACAAATCATGATAGAAATGCTTTTAAGAATACTGATCACATATGGAAACACTTCTGATTTTCCCTGCTAAAAAATTCAGCATTTCTGGTCACCAGCATATGGTTTGTTTTGCATGGGATGCCGGTTGCTGGTTTGCTGGTCATCACCAGCATGGGAAACAGGAGTGCTGATTGACCAGCTCAGTTTTGCTTGTGAACTTCATATGATGGTCCAGAGCACTATACCAGCTCTAAACATGGAATTCATGCTGGTTTATACTGGATTTTTCAGCTGGGTTTCCACTTCAACTTTTTTCAAATGTACTAACCACGTCTATACTAATACTAACTCATGTCTCTCACCATCACTGCATGTTTGTGTCATTTCCTTTTCTGTCCCTAGAAACCCTATTGGCTTCAGTGTAGCTTTGTGCTGAGTGAGCAGAAATACCACATGTGCTCTACGCAGAACTCAACAATTTGAGAGGTGGCGGTCAGTCGTTGTGTGTGGAAACATATGGATCTGATAACACAATTTTCGAAAACGTTATTCGCAACCCCCGCTGGACCACCAGAATATAGAATAACAAACTGTGTGAGTCTGTGGAATGTGAAAGTTAAACATCAGACATGGGCCTCTTCTGTTACAAGGCAGCTTCTCACCTGATAAAAGAGCTCTCTGATTTTAGATTGAACCATAAGGAGGGTAAGACTCTGAGGTGGAGGCAATTTGCCAGAATCTGCTGTTCCAACAACCGAGACATGAAACAAACTAAAATAACTACAGCATACTAAGTGCAAGGACAGTCTAGAAGGAGGGGGAGTATATTTATATTGTGTCAATTTCATGAGAGCATATGAGTGATTGAAAGTTTGTGGCAAACCCAGGGTCACCATGAAGGCTTTG